GTGCGCACGTGCCTTCGGGCTATGACTCGTTCTGACTCGTGCCATCAACGTGGCTTTCCTTATCTTGTCTTATCTTTCCTTTGACTCGTGCATGCTGCACATTGTATCATTTACCGTTGGCTCGTTCCAACGTTTCTCGGTCTCATTCCGCATTCGACCTTACATCACTAATCAGGCTCTGCCACCATCGTACCTATACCCTTTCCATTTCCCCTTTGCCCTTACCTACAGTACGGTAGCCTTGCCCTTAACCCTTTCCACTTAGTATAAGTAGTCGGTCACTCTGTACTAGTTTCCCTAACTTGAATCTACTCAATCTTCCCTCGAACATACTTCCCTCTGAAGCCCCCTCAGCTTCAGTCTCTAGTATCTTTTTCTTAGGTGCTCATCGCGCCTAAGTCTACCTCAATCGACTACTCATCGTTCGGACAAGACTGTCCTTACTTTGAGAACGTCAGTGACTTTGAAAGACATCCGTCTTAGAAGTCACGTGACACGCTCGTCTCTGATATCTGCCGACTCGACGTCGCCAGTCTCAGTCGCTACACCGGACCCTTCCGGTTACGTCACGAACGTTAGTGGACGACGCCCCTCTTAGGGCTCCGCATAACAGATCTATTTGAGTGCGTAACATCGTACAACAGACTGACACTACTTCAGAGACATTAGCGACAGAATTATGTGACCGATTCAAAGAAGAACCACTCTTCCGGGAGATCATAGAGGCATTGTTCAACCTTGATGGCAACAAACCAGAGCGAGAATGCAGACGAGCGCAACACAGAGCGTTAGGATACATAGTCGAGGATGGACGACTATGGCATATCGCAGATGGCAAGTCTACTCGAGCACAAGCGCGAATGGAGTGCGTCATGCAGAAGGAAGCAGTAGAGTTAGCAAAGGAAGAGCATGCTAACAATGGGAATTGGGGAAGAGACCTTACCTGTCATATCCTGTATTCCGGACCTACATCCGATAATATTCCCACGCCTCATCCGGACCTTCGGATGTGCTATCCATGTCTCCAGTACCCATCCAGATCCCTGCACCTCTGCACATCCACATCCACATGTCCACGTCCAGATCCCTTATCCTTCGCAGCTAGCCTGCATCATTCATCCTTGTCCCATCGCCCTAATGCCACATCCTATATATCCACGCATCTCATCCGGACCATATCCGATCCGGTCCGATCCGATGTATAGATCCGCTTCCGATCCGATATAGATAAGCTTCCTAATTCATTTCCTGTTCTTATAACGTTATACACAGCCTATTCAGTATTTCCTCTATTCCGCTGTTTCGGTCATATCTATTACCGGTATGCTTACTGATCCATTAACCTATGTTCATTTCCGACTCGCATTTGTTAACCTTTGCATATGCTTCATACATAGCCTCAGACTCTGCTTATTGATCCTTCCGTTATTTCTCTTAGTATATAAACTCATCTATATGTCTTGTAGTACCTCAGTCTGAATATCATATTAGTCCTCGCACTAGTCTTCACTCTAAGTCCTCATATCAGTTCTAGTCTTCCAACTTAGTTGTTATCCATCTCAGGCCTAGGGAGTTTCTCCCTAGGCCGGAGCTCTGCTTATCCGATACTCTGCTCATCTGCTCATCCGATCCTCCGTAGTTTCCGGCAGTTCATCCGTATCTTTCCCGCGGTCCTCCGGACCTATTCTGCTTCAGACTTTGTCCTTGCAGCCTTTCCTCTGTTTGCTTCTACTCAGGACAAGTCCTGAGTAGCCATTACACATATCTGTATTAGGACGAAACCCCATTGTAATTTCCGGAACTTTCCCGCACTCATCCGGAAGTTACTTGTACCCATCCGGAAAGTCCTTCTGAAGTTTCCCGCGCCTTCGGACATCTTCGGACTTTCTTTGGACACCAATCTGAAATTAAGGGCACATACTCGGGTAAGGGGCGCAGCGCACGAGCTGAAGCCAAGCCCCTCAGAATCAGTCCTACCCTTTGTGCATGGTCTTAACACTTACCAAGCTACAGCTCATGGATCGAATCGCAAGCCCATCACTAGACCGATCCATTATGACGGCGATCCTCGACTGTCCGCAATGCAAGAACTTCGGATCAACCCATCTGCACGTTGTAGAAACAACAATACAACGAGGAACAAAAGAGGCTCCTAGCTGTATCTATAAATGTTGTGAGGTCACGCATTGCCTAGTCTGCTATTCTTGAGACGACAAGTGCATTCGACCCTAGGGGAAGCGAGTGCAGCAAGGATCTAGAAGTGTGCACTGAAGCCAAGCGCAAGAAAGCGCAGGTGCACGCAAGGCGCGGGAACGCGCGCGCGCATATGCAGAAATAATAGAGAAGTTAGACTCAAGTGCTAATATGATGCAATATAAGAGAAGAGAGATGTGAAGTGTAGACAAATAGACTTCTACTATGTTCTGCTAAGTAAAATGGTGGGTGGTAACTAGTAAGTTAAAGGGAAAGTAAGTGAAAAAGTGTAAAGTGGAAAACTCCTCCTCGTAGTATGTACTGCTGGTGCTTATATAGCGCGCCTAAGCGCGGTCATGCGGAGCCGAAGCGCTACCGAGTAGGTATGTAAAGATATATATAAGTAAGGGTCCATTATAAAAATAGAGGTGGAATGATATGCTAATAAAAGAAATGGAAATATATGCACTAGAGGGCTTGGTGGACAGTGGATGGATGCTTCTGGATGGCTGGCGCTATAGGGCGCTCAAGCGCGGGAACGCGCGTGCGCGTATACATCGTGAAGCACGGGAATGGTGCGCGGGAAAGCTGCGCCTTGTATAGGGATAGCTGTGGGTAGCGCACAGAGTGATGCTACAAGTTCGTGCTATGCACTCCTTGGTGGAAACTGCCATGTCACGCCATGAGAGGCATGAGTCTCTACAACGCCCTAATGTATCCCATCACAAGACGACATCCATTTGAGCTGCTGGTTGCAGACTACCTCTCATTACCTAAGAGTAAAGGAGGATATCATAATGCCTTACTTATCCTTGATACATATTCTCAATATGTTTGGGGATTCAAGCTGAAGACGTACGGCAATGCAAAGACCACGATTGCAGGGCTAGACGCAGTTGTGCACAGTTTCAGAGCACCGGAGACGTTCATGACAGATGGAGGGTCGCATTTCGACAACGGAGATGTACGCGCATGGTGCTCAGCACATAACGTGAAACACCATGTTGTAGCGGCCTATTCACCATGGATCAACGGTCTAGTGGAGAATGCCAATGGGAAGTTGTTAGGACGACTGAGGAGATTGTGCAGTCCGGGATTAGGAGAGGATGAGAATGAGAACGCGAAGGCAGAGGACATGACGTGGAAGTGGCCAGACCACTTTGATATGATGATTCAACAGCTCAACGAACACATCATCCCAGCATTCAAATTTTCACCGAAAGAACTCCTCCTAGGACTAGTGGTCAACACCATTCCTACAGCAATCACAGATGCAAGTGCTGAACCAACCATATCGGAAGTGAATGTTCATATGGCTTACGTGGACCAACAGCGCTTGGACAGCGTGAACCACACAACAGCACACACAATGAAACGGAAGAGCGTTTTTGATAAGAAAGTTCTGCAGTCACATGCAGGAGAAGTTATATTCAAACCAGGACAGCTAGTCCAAGTCTATGCAAATGCTACAGACATGACAATGGCAAGCTTGAGGAAACTCGTACCGAAGTGGTCAGCACCCAGGCGAGTGGTCTCTCAGACTAGCAACTCCTATACTCTCACTTCTTTAGAAGGCTTTCCCATCAACGGCCTATTTCATGCGCGAAGACTTCGAAGGTTCATCCCACGTAACGGTACCACGTTGGCAGCACTACAAGAAGCACTACAGGATGAAGGCGCAGATGAAGAAGATGAATCCTTGGACACGCAGTTGGAGATAGGAACAATATCGGAGGATGATCTAGAGTCAGAAGAGGATGATATGGAAGACGACGACAAATGGGAGACAGATGCAAAACCAGCTTAGAGTAGAATGCAACCCCAGAGGGACACATTTGGAGAGGGGGCAAATGTAGTGGGGAGCTTTGGGTGAAGGCTGGGGAGACAGGGATAGGAGGAGGACGAGGTCAGGAGGGATAGCAGAGGATAGGAGAGTAGAGCAGATGACACAGTTAGAGGAGACAAGGACTCGACTGGCAGATTCCGGGGTCTTGGGGCTTACATCAGTAAATTCGCATATTCCTTAGCTCAACTTTTTTCGAAAATTAAAACTTATTTTTAACTTATCTATATTTATTCACTTGGCTTTTCGTTGTGACAAGTCGAAAAAGGAAGCACATGACACGCAAGTGCCGAAAGGCAGCGCAAGAACGAAAAGTAAGATCAGATACTCAAAAGTATAGCAAGCAATACAAATCCAACTAAGTAGTAGTACTAGCCTCAAGTATCATACTCAAGTATCTCGAATGTGATCCGGTATGTTCTTCGGCTTGTTGCATTATTGGTTGATTGATGCTGAACCCTTGCAGACGTTAGTACGATACACAATGGCCTCCAAACCAAAATCAACGAAGGTGCACTGCATGCGAGGGGAGAGGTGCCGGTGGACAGAGGCCACGGATCGGGCGCTGGCAGAGGCAAATGTGGAACAAGCGGAGGCAACGCTGGGGTTGTGGGAGAGAGCAAAGGAATGGTTGGGGCGCAGGAAGGGGGATGCAGGAAGGGGGACGGAAGGCGTCGTTCAAGTGTAGCATGACTACAGACTATGGTGAGTGCTAAGATTCTTATGACTGATGAACTGTGAGCTTACCGATCATCTTCAAGTTGATAGTGTCGTCTCGGGGATTCGGTGTTTGGGAGAGGCAGGATGCAAGTTGATAGTGTCGTCTCGGGGATTCAGCATTTGGGAGAGGCAGGATGTAAGTTGATAGTGTTGTCTTGGAATGCCGGACTGCTTTATGACTGAGTTGCGATGTGCAACAGCATAGTAGTCCACCCTGCCCTTGTCGTCCTGGGCATCGACACGGTCAGGATGCTATCTCGAAGGCGTGGTGATCAGCGAATTTGTTGACATAAAATGAGCGGAAAGAATCGATAGAAGGGTAGAACTTGAGGGAATGAGGGATGTACTCAGAGCTGTAGATAGGTATCAAGTGTGCTGCACAAAATATCGTGTCAATATGAATAACAGCAAGGTTCCGGGAACCATCCTCATGAAAACTTGGACCGACCATCCACATGCCAGTGTCTTCGTTAGCACAGTCACCAATCTTGTCAAACCATTGGATGAGAGCGCACGGATACCCTTCCCAGTCGTGGATGAAAGAGAAGAAGCATATGATTCTCGCAACTTCAAGTCCTTGCATGCCTTGAGCATCCGAATCGGTGTTAATGAACACACAGTCATTACGTGGGTACTCGTTCCTCCAGAGTGGACATGCACGGATATGTTCCCATTGCATGCCACCGACGCCACTCAGATCACTGGGAGCAAGGAAAGTAGCAGAAGCAGAATTGAAGACCTGGAGTTTGCCTTCATTCTGAGGGTAGCTACCAGTTGGTATATCTTCGGGATCACAGCGATCACCTCGGATGCACTGAGAGAACATAAAATCTCGAATGAGGCATCACAGATTGGGAACAGCGACTTCATTTGCCAATGCTGCCACTGTTTTTGCCCGGTTTGGTTCTGTATGATACAATGGTTAGCATTGGGATTGGATGTTGCGTAATATCACTTACGAGGAGTTTTGGCAAGTGAGTGCTACACAAGCAAGTACCATTGGATCATCAACTATTTCAACGTTATTGATATTCATTACTGGTTGTGGTTCAATAGCATGGTCACCTGGCTGCGGTGCAATAGCAGGGACAGCCTGTTCATCTTCATCTGGCGTTGGATGTTGCTGTTTGAGTATGCGAGAAGACAATCAGAGAAAGGAATATTGAACAGACTTACCAAGAGTAGCCAAAACACTTGATAAAATAGTGCCAGTAAGCATCCCTCGCGCATTAAAGTCCACGCGGGATGCTGCGAGCTTGTCAAGGCGTTGATTGGTCACAAGCATCTGACCAAGAGCATTGTGCCTATTTGACCAACACCAGGGCTCCTTTACAGCCTTGATATGTTTTGATTCCGTAATTGATGAGCATAGTCCATTCAGAGCACCAAAGAGTCAAATCATGTCCATGTAATGAGTCATTGAATGCTGGCGAGGGAGTGAAAAAGTAGGAACAACGAGACCAAATATCTTGTGATAGCGATGAAAGTAACCAAGTGCGTCTTGAATTTGATTCAAGGTATCTTCAGTAATAACATTGCGCCGCACAAGATAGCAAAATTCTAACAGTGCACGAAATGCGCGAACCATATCTCCAGGTACGTGGCCTTCGATAGCTGGAAGAAAGACCTTCATGAGGGCTTTCGAATCATCGCCCATCCACTGTTTGAAGTCATGGCCTTGGGGAAACCGTCGCAGACCAGAGAATGAAGGTACAGCAGCAACTCTGACTTATTGTGAGAGGATGCTATTGAACTAATGAATGAAGTAACATACCTGCAATCTATGTCACTCATAATCTCCTCCGCCCGCTTGGTCCCGTGCACTGCCTTGAGGTACTTCGCCACCCAGTCGACAAGATGGTCTTTGAAGGCACCTTTGATGAGCTGATGGAGGAGATCAAACGATAGTAACTCGTGGATATCTGCTCGGAGGAAGTCATTTGTAAACGGCTACACAAAATATATTAGTTCGGGATTGAGGGGCAGCTGGTTTCCACTCATGACGAGATCACTAATGATACCATATTCATCCCATAATATATCCTCGTGTAGTTCACCAATTATGAAGTCAGTGTGCTGGCGACAGCGATACATGCCACCACTATTGAGGTCTGTTCGAACTGCAATACATCTAACATATATGATCAGTACAAGTGGATACTGATTGCAAGTTCCAATACTCACTTCAGGCACCAATGCTTAACGACACAGGATAGCACCAGTTGTTCTTCGTAATCTGCTATGTAGGGTCCTAGACTGTATATCATGCGTCGAAAATGACTATCTCCACAGCACACGACCTCATATTTGGACATTGCAGATTTCAGGCTGGAGAGAATCGCAGATAGCGAGCTGTGGAATAGCTGGCGATGAAATATCTGAAACATGTCATCTTTGGAATGTTTCTTGTCAGCTGTGATACAGCTTAGATGAGGTATAATAAAATCTAAAATATCAACACATACTTTTGGGTATGGCGAGGAAACCAATGATGACAAGAGCATCACGGTGAGCGCGCCGCACATTATTGCGTACATTGCCAATCGAGGCATAGAGGGGATAGTATTCGTTATTACCAGTACCCACAAAAACAGTAGTCTTATCACTACCAAGAATAATTGGGACTAACACAGATCCATGTGTCTCTGGGTCTTTCGATATGGTGTCCTTAATGAAATGTTAGCTATGTTCCGAGAAATTCCAGTAGTAATAGGTAGAAAATGTACTGCCTGTTGCCATGCCCAGTCTCCAGACATAAAGTCTTTCCATCGGTGCGTGTCGTCCGATGCATTATATTCACGAAATGGTGCATAGTCGATTTCGTCTTTGAAGGTAGGATTGGCTAGTATGTTGTGCGCCATCGCGTGGGGGTCCCTATACCAGACCTCAAATTCATCATTCATCCATGGTGGGACAACCTCGGGACATTCTCCTGTGTACTGAACCGAGAAAGATTGCCAAGGGACATCACCAAGCTATGTCACATCTATGACATTGTAGAGATCTTTATGATCAGCGAATGGAGGGGTGTCACAGTGTTTTGCAAGAGACACAGCCATTAAATCACATAGGAAATCCAGGTTTTTTGCAGACATATGGCATTTTTTGAACACAAACTCGGCCACCTCAAATTCTATTCTATTGCGATACGGGCTCCAATCATCAGGAGCCTTTTGTGGTATGGGAGGTGGAGGGGTGCCATGTGGCACAAATTCTCCATCAGCCGTGCATGGTCGTCCTAGGTGTAGATCTGAGTCGAAGAAAAATAAAGTACAGATTAAAAAGAACTTACCGTTTAACACTGAATGGTGTGTACGATAATAATGCTCGGTCTCATCAGTAAATTCAGCATCAGCGTCATTTGAATCCTCATGAGTTGGTTCAGGGAGGGTGGGAGGCGATGGTTGGGGAGGTTGTGAGAAACCCGGAGGAGGGAGTGAGAAATCTTGAGGTGGTGGTGAGAAATCTCGAGGGTGGAACTCTGGTGACAGGGATTGTTAGGGATTGTTGTGAGAGGGTGGTAGTTGGGGTGGTGGTATGAGATCCTGAGGGGGCGGTCCTGGAGTGGGTAAATTTGAGTGGTGCGAACGCCTGTGTTGGGTGAGACCTGATTGGTTTCGAAACCAACATGCGCAGCCTGGAGCTAGGCATGGAAGCTGGAGCAGGTGGTGAGCACAGTGGGGAGGCATATGTTTTCTATGCCTAAGTTGGTGTTGACAGCTGAGGAGAATTTCTAAGGCAGCATATTCGGGCACAAGATTACCAGTACCGACGTGACCAAATCAGAAAGGTTTAATTCAGCCAGATTTGGAGGTTCTTTAGTAAAGAAAGGCCCAAATCACACCCAGAGGGCACATTAATGCAAGTTCAAGCCAGACTGGAAAGGAGTCCGATACAGTGAACCCTAGGTTCACACTGGCAGCACCAAAAAAATGCAGAAAGGTTCTGGTAAACATTGATGTTCAACTTGAAGTTTGCTGTGCCGAAATGAATATTGACATCTTGCAGCAAAATTGTTGGTCGAAACTAATAGTAGTACTGGGACCAGAAAAGTACTGCTAAACCAACATCTCCGGCAGGTCCAGAAGGATCGCGCTAAAATAGTAGTAGTAAGTAGTAGGTACGTCATCCTGGGCAAGGGTCAATGTAAGTATTTATTCAGAGTCAGCTTGGACTACAATTTTCCGAAGAATCGTGGCGAAACTTACCTTGTTGTCAGCCACCATCGCCCTCAATTTTCTTCAATCTCCCGAGCCCTCCATTGATAGTATCATGCCTGCCAGTGCAGTTCCGAAATGCATGATGACTCAACCTAAAAATGCAACTCAGCATCCAGGATATATTCTGACTGGGGGCGAAGACCGAGTAAAAAGACGTACCAAAGCTCAAAAGGCCGTGGATGACCAACGTGAAAAAGAGGAGAAGGAGGCAAGTGAAGATGATGAGGAGTTGGAGGTCCAGATGCCAGAAGCACGCAAGAAGAAGGGGAAGAGGATGGTGATACCAGTGAAGACACCAGTGAGAGATGCAATTGATGTGGTGGGTGCCCTTATTGATGAATCAACGCAGGCACGTGATGATGAATCGTCTGATGCCATGTAAGGCATTTAGTCTTCTTAACCATCATGAAGCTCCATCTGACCGAAACATCTTTTTTTTTTTTCAATCTTATGGTCCACGATAGTGATGGTAATAGCTCTATGCAGGCTCCTAAAAAATACAGTGTGGTCGATTGCATCCCAGTTTGGAGGGAGAGAATTCCCGAGGTTGATGGTTCAAAGCCATCCTCCATCTTCAACTTGAAGAACAGATGTTCTGCAGTGCCTTCCACTCTCTCTAGCACCGCTCCCTCCTCTAAGCTTACTAGGGGAAGCACTATTAGTAGTGCTGGTGCCCCACTCACACCTACTATCTGTACTCCCGACACTGGGGCCAACGACATATCAGCTCTTTTCACAACCCTGTTTGCAGACAATGAATTGACCGAATCAGTCGAGCGCTCTCAAGCCCTCACTCGTATGTCAAAATCAAAGGCTGCTCAGGTAAGTCTAATCATCTAGTTCGTTTTCATGTGCTAACCGCATTTCTAGGGCATCAAAATTTCTTCCAAGGTCCCAGAGAATTCTCTACTTCAAATGAACTTAGCCCATCGCAATGCCAAAGTGGCACTCGAGCAGCTCGATCCAATTGAGCCTGATATCACTGCCGATGACGGTGCCTTCAATATTCCTGAGCAGACCAAAGCTAAGACCACTCCTCAGATGGCCTCCCTGGTTGACTATGGATCCGACACTGATAGGGAATCTGATCTTGAACCTCCTCCTTCTGCACAGGTTCCCAAAGGGTATTATGATGATCTTGAACCTCCTCCTTCTGCGCAGGTTCCCAAAGGGTATTATGATGATCTCCGACCCCCATGTCTCGCTCGAGCTTACACATACTGCCCTACCAGTGTCAAGCGCAAACTTGCAGATGTCAAGGATGGCCTGACTGATGATAGCCTGATCGAGGATGACCTCATCATCGAGGACGATGACCTTATGATCGAGGACGACCTCATCATTGAGGATGACCTGGTCGATGAAGACTTGCCCTCCTCTGAAGTTGAATTTGTGGGTCAAGCTCAACATCACGTCAAGCCTGTGGTCAAGACCGAACATAAACCAGTGTCGTTGTGGGTGACTTCCGCGGTAGTGTGCTTCAGTTGCTAATATTTTAATTCTACTGACTACGAAATTTGTAGACCGGCGTAGGCATCAAACACAATGCCCCCCCAGCAAAGCAGCTAAAGTCCTCTATCACAAATTCTAGGAGTGTGTCCAGCATTCCAAGTACCGTGACACCTGGTCCCACGAACCCCTTAGAAGTGACAGTGGAGATCCTCCCCCGTTCTGCATACAGGATCAAGCACCTTCCTGGAGGTCCTCGGGCTGTGGCTAGGTGGAGTTCTGTGTTCATCCCTACTCTCATTTCCGCCATCGGAGATCAAGATGAAGTCTGGGGTCAGGTCGAGTCGGAGACAACTTTATGTGCTACTATGCAGGACACCTGGGATGTGGTCTATGAAGATATCCCCCATACAGTGACAGTTGATGGACCTGTCATGGCTATAGTGAGTAGTTTTTGATGCCATTCATATCTGACATTTCTTTTGTTCTTAGGCTCTCCAGCAGCTATCAGAGTGGTGCAATGGCATCGGTTCCACTGCTGTCACAGTATTTACGAACTTCATGTCGCTGCAAGATGATGTCGAGACCAATGAAGACCGTAAGGATTTTGCAAAGAGTTTACTTCTCAAGCTAGTGTTCTTGTATGGGCACATCAAGGACGATGAAACATTCGAGAAACCTTTTCAGTCTGAGCTCATTATTCAGGTTCTTGTACAGCATAAGTGTGCTACATGGGGTGCCATCGACAGCCATCGCACAATAACGCATGCAAAAGGGGCTCTCAGCCTTTCCACTGTGGCGGTATATATTTTTACTCTCTCTTCACAGTATGGCTAAATCATTTCTCGCGTTCAGGTGGAACGTGCCCTCCTCCTTATCGCTGGGCCTGATGAGACACGTGTCAGTGAATTTGAAGTCAATAGTAAAGGCAAGGCTGTCAAGGTCCCGCACTCTCTTAACAAGGCCTCCGGCAAGATTAGCAGCTCTCGAAAGGCCTTTTTGGACACCAACTTCAGTGCGATGACCAGGGGTTATATGATGTCTATCAACCACCTGCCAGAGTCAGTTCTCCGGGATGTCTGGGGACAGGCGAAGGACATTGCCTTGAAGAGGCGTGGTGCACACACCACTCTGGACGAGGACTCTGAGCTTGATGAGCGCACGCTCATCTTCACCTAGTACTACTAGGGGCCGCCCAGTACTTCCTCAAGTTCATATAGTAGGCCACTGTCTATATTTCCTGCTCACTCGCTGTTACTTACTGAGTACTACTAGTGTTTCCCACTCAGTCGCTGTTGCTCGCTGGCGCACTAGTACTAGTCACCATTTGTTTTTAATGGATTTCAAACTCTACTTTTAATGTCCTTTTTCCTTACTTAATCTACTTGTCGCTTGAAATGCAGTCATTTGTCTCTTAACAAGTCCAAAATATGTAGAAAATAAGTGAAAGAAGTATCTCTACTTGCTGCTACTTGCACTACTTTCAAAGGCAAAATCATTGAAAAAAGGTCAAAATAAGGGTGGAAAAGGTCAAGTCAAGAGGAGGCATCTACTTTTTCGACTTAAACTGCCTTGTAGCAAGTTGACGGCAAGTTGGTGTCACCGTTCTTGCGAGTGCCTTATCCGTTCCTTTTGGGGAAGTTACCCGGCGGCAAGTAGCGAAAAAGGAAGGTCAAGGAATGTGTGAATTTACTGATGCTAGGGTCTGGGAGCACATAGAGCACACTCTTGTATCATACCACACATGACGATGACGACGCTGTCTTCACCCTTTCCCGAGCGCGAAGCTGGCTAGGACACTGTTGCAAAGAAGTGGCATGAACTTCTCGTGACACGGCCAGACATCTCGCTGAGTGCTACTACCAGCAGTGCTTTAACTGTTTGATCCTCCTCTCAGTAGTGTTTTTGATCTTCGGCCATTTTTCCTTTCTTTCACTCATATACAAACCTAACAAACACTGCTGCTCCATATTGTATCACTTGTGCATCTGTATTCCAGACTGCCGGTGTAGAAGAGGAATCTTGACTATAGGTGAAAACACTTAAAACAAATGGGTGCTCTACAGCAAGACCAGGATACGAGACAACGACTCAACCCAAAGGACAACCACTGAGAGAAGTTCCTCGAAATAAAAATGGAGGGAGACTGTATGAGCTAGGCGGCGCTAGCAAGTGCGAGAAGGTAACGCGCGCGTGAGCGGGAGGTTCGAGAATGCACGTGCGCGAAGCGAAGGCGCGCCTAGAACGTTAAGGGAAAGGTCCTTTTTGAAGAGTGGATGCACAGATGGATGGTTGACAGGAGAATCAGATCAGATATCAAGTGAGGAGGTGATCTATACACTTTCCAGTACACAAAGATAAGGGGAAAGTAAGTACCAGAACCCCAAAGATTCCCTTCTCTATTTAAGAATGGAGATTACACTATGCAGCGCGCTTCCGAGCACGCTCCCAAACCGAGTAACCATATGAACTCTACTTATAACTAAGTTTAAATAGACTTTCTATATGTAGCGCGGATTTCGGACTGAAGATTTGTTAGTTCAATGAAGGAGATAGGAATAACGCACCAGCAAATCAGTAAGGACATGGGACGAATGGACGGACGATAGTGCGAAGACCTAGGAGGAGGCGCACGAATGCGCATGCATAGCGCGAGCGCAGGTAAGGCGCGCTTAAGTGCGTGCGCGAGACTGGTCCTTTGGATTAGAGCTGGATCATATAGGAATGTATGGATAAAGGCCAGATACTCGGCATTGAGACGCACGAGTCTCTACACCGGTACACTTCTATTTGACTATACTACAACACATCCAAGTCCTAATCAATTACCATACTTTAGCAGGCTCATATGCCATTTACCTACGACGATGAATGTCAGCTCCAGTTTTGAGCTCACTGTTTACCTACAACGATGAATGTCAGTTCTGGTTTCCAACTTCTCATTCCAGATGTCATCGATCGTCCCTGGTCATCATCGAAACAGTTGGAGAAAGGAATGGCCATCGCTGGACTAACTCACTTGTGATGTCCTCGATTCGATTCCCTCTCTGCCCGTGATGAATGAAGGTCAGATTCAGAAAGGCCATCTCGGAAGGATATGACTCACATTGGCTCAGTCTCGTTTATGCTCGCCAAACTTGCTGATCATTCAACTGTGATTGTCAGAAAGTCAAATGGTGCGTCATGCATAGTAGTAAGAGACGGAGTGAACTCACATGAACCAGTTAAGGTACCTCATCCTGTGCAGCATGTCGATCCCAACGAATAAACGAGAGAGGGCTGCAGAGGGATAAGCGTGTAAACCTGTTGATCGTTCGGCTGTGATAGTCAGAAAGTCAAATGGCGCATCATGCATAGTAAGAGATGGAGTGAAACTCACATGAACCAGCGAGTGTACCTCGTACCATGCAGCATGCCAATCCAACGAATAAACAAGAGAGGGCCACAGAGGGATAAGCATAGACGGAGCACTCACGAGCCGTGCCTAGCAATGATGAGATGATGAATGAGCAGCACAGGCAGCTGCCAGATCGAATGGAATGCAGTTGGCACTCAAGTACTCACCAACGGCACTGCTCTGGCCTGTTGAACCCTGAATGAGTCTTGAATGCCGATTGCGCTGATCGTCCTGATCGTTGGTGGTCGAGGTCCAGGTGGAGTGCAATTGGCAATCGAGCCCAACAAAAAAGGCAGTGCTGTGGCTGAGTCATCACGTGTCACGTTTGCAGTCTAGGCAAGACTGCAAACCGTCACCGAAAGGAGGATAATTCTAATGAGAAACCCCCTGTGGGAAAGAAACCCCGACATCAACAGGAATGTTGAGTAGAAACCTCTGCTTACCTAATGAAGACCGCTGTTTGTCTCCGCCGTGCGCACTGGTACTCAATGTTTCAACGTTCAACGTCGTCAGCCTCAATCATCAAGCTGATAGGTATATTTTTTTAAAATTTCTATTTAACATTTGTAACTACAAACTAGGTATCGAGTTTTGTCGTTGGATTGTGAGTCTGTCAATCCTTGTTTGAGCAAGAGCCACGCTGATCCAACTCGTTGCCTGCCATTCACAGGAAGTGAGTGTGTTGGTCCTCATTTCAGCCAGAGCCACACTGATTCAAGTCGTTTTCTGCTGTTCGCAGGTAGTGAGTGCGTCAATCGTTGTTCGAGCAACTGCCATACTGATCCAAGTCGTTATCCGCCATTCGCAGGAAGTGAGTGTGTCGAACCTCCAAGCTCGAGCCATGCTGATCCCAGTCATTGTCTGCCGTTCACAGTGGGTGAGTGTGTTGATCCTCCTTCGAGCTCAAGCCATGCTGATTCAAGTCATTGTCTGCCGTTCGCAGCAGGTGAGTGTGTTGATGCTCCTTCAAGCTTGAGCCATGCTGATCGAAGTCGTTGTCCGCCATTCACAGTGTGTCGATCCTTCTTCGAGGGGTCACCATACATCTTTTCTATAAATCCACTCACATGTTTCACTAATGTAGCTTTATTAGCTTATGCTCATCCACACATGTTCACACTTGTATGTGCTTGTCCGCACTCGTTCTTGCTGCAACAGGTACAGCTTTGCTAATCTAAGCCAGGGATTAGGTATTTGCGGTCAATTGTAGCTATACAGTAATTACTTTTGTGTGTGTATTCTATGTAATCAAATATCATTTGTTTTTTCTTGTAACATTGTCTGACCATGGTGGGTGATTTGCAATGCAAAGTTTGAAATACATTTTCTGGAAGTTTGGCTTTTCTCAAACTCTGTAGCACAAAAATCACGATATGGTTGGTGTCAATAACCTGTCAATAACTACCCTGGGGATACCCTAGGTTAAAAACATGTCCAAAACTCGGCAGTGAGCACTGAGAACATGAAAATTAAGTACCAGACAAACAAACTTAGTCAACACACAAGCATTATTTCTGAATTATGCAGCAATTCCTAGTTCTAATACTACCCACCAGATAAATGGTGCTCTCGAACTAATCTACTCACACTGTGGCCCTTTGTAGCAGTACGTGGCGGACCGGCAGTGGGCCCCGGCCATCAGAAACCCTGCTACAGTATTGAAAGTCAGAAGGGTTTCTGCTGACTAAGCAAGTACCCCCAGGTAAGGGGGTTTCTCATTAGAATTATCCCCGAAAAGACCGTCAATTTTTCACACGAAGAGTTGTGAATCATGATGCTGATAATTTGTTTGCTTTTGTTTGTATCACTGTGACAAGTACTACTTGCAGCAGTCGCCTCACTCACCTACTCCCGCGATGTCCTACTATTCACGTTCACCTCCACCTCTTCAACACCCGGTTCCGACTCATCCAGCTTTCATACCAGAACCGCCTTCAACGCCAGCATCACCTCAAGGCTACCAACGCTTTGCTAGTTCGCCGCCACCAACCCAACAATATGCCGCACGAACTCAATACAATCCTCCTCCATTTCAACCAATCCCGAATCCTCAACACCAACACATTCCCGATTTCGCAGCATGGGGTATGAACGACAGTACCGCTCAGTTCGGGATGCACTTAGGCCAAACAGCTGTTGCTGCGGGCCAAGACTATGTCCAAAAGAATGTACGTGGCCTTCATTTATGTTTGCTATACTCGCTCACCATGAACAGTTCGCCGGCATGATACCAGTCACCATGCTCAAACACCACTTCAACGTCTCAAATTCTTACGTCATGCATAAACTCCAGCTCGTCGTATTTCCTTGGCGACATAAACCCTGGACACGAAAAGTCCGTCGCACAGAGGCTGGTCACACAGAATGGCAGCCTCCTCGCGACGATATCAATAGTCCTGATTTGTACATACCCCGTGCGTCTTTTTTCTTCTCAATTCATCCGTTCTTATTCGTTTCGCAGTCATGGCACTCGTCACCTACATTCTTGTTGCAGCGCTTCAAACAGGCCTTCAAGAACGATTCCACCCCCAGATCCTCGGCACAAGCGCAACACGCGCTCTCCTCGTCGTCCTACTCGACTTTCTCTTTGTCCAGTGCGGCTGCTACCTCCTTAATGTTCAAGGCACGGGTCAGGTGGTAGATTTGATCGCTTATGGCGGGTATAAGTTTGTCGGGTGTGTCCGCTCCTTGCACCCTTTTACTTCGTTGCTAACTCGAGCTAGCGTCATCCTCACGCTCTTCGCGGGTCTCCTCAATCTAGGCACAACGATATACACACTTGTATTCCTCTACGCGTTCGCAGCAAACGCGTTATTCGTCGTATGTCCTGTCCCTATACCAAACATCACTCAATACTCACTCGCACCCATGTAGCTCCGCTCCCTTCGCTCAGTGGTCCTTCCTGACTCACCCGCTAATGTGGGCACTGTCAATCCCGCATCTAGAAAACGCCGCATCACATTCTTGTTCCTGGAGGCTGTTTTACAAGTCGTCTACATGGGTATCTTGGTGAGAGTGTGAGTCTTGGCGTGCTTTCGAGTCGTCGCGCTGTGGTAATATAAAACTACCATACATGCGAGTGTTGATCGTGATGATCTTAATGCTGATGGGGGTACGTGTCAGATATTTTCTTTGTGGAGGGTTGTAAGTAGTAGTTCATCGCGAGCTGAGTCTGAGAAGCCGTCTCGGCCGGACGCACAAATCAAGAATGTCCATGGCATGACCCATCTGTATAACACAGAATGGCTAAACAGTGAGAAAGGAATTGTGGTCGACATGAGGTTATCAGGCCGGACTCAGCGTTCCGGAGTGTGTACGCCACTTGTATTTGAATCCAATATTTGCGTGCGTGCTGGGCGTACCCGACAATGTTGAAGCAACAGAAACTTCGCAACCCCCAACACCTTCGAGGTTGCACCCCGCCTGCTTTTCGCTCGCCTGTCCTCACTCATCCACTGTTCTTCACCTGAGAACGATGCACTAGATGAACTTCAACAACCCTCCACGCCTTCACGGTTAGATCTACATGCAATTCTCGTTCCCCTGTCGTCACTTTTTCCCTGCTCTCGACTCAATACAGGTGGAGAAACTGAAGGTCATCCCGCAATGCCTCCAGGTTTACATCTGAATGCACTTATTGATCGCCTGTCCTCATTCTTCCGCTCTCAACCCCACACTGATGAAGAAATTGAACTTCCACAATGCCCAAGGCGTCCTCATGTTGTCGAAGTGGCTGCAGTGCGAGACAGGCAGGTATGGCTTTTCCCAGTGTGTCAATTTCTAGCGTCTGATGAGCTCCATGCATGATGAAGGCATTGTATGTTGCTCCACGGCCGCGACCTCTTCCACACGCTCAGCCTAATGGTACTGCAAAACCTGCACAATCACAACCCATCCCATGGTGGGCTCATGTCGTGCTTTTTCTTTGCTGTGTATCTCCTCAGCACACCCATGGCAATGTGATACCAACGCAGCAGCAGCAATGTCAATCACAAGGCCAAACCCAGCCCCAGGCGTTATCATCGCAGACTCAGCCTGCCGCTGTCTCGACACCCGCGACACCTCCTGCTTCAAACGTGCAGTCACGACCCCTTCCATTGCGAGCTCATTTCGTACTTTTTCTTTGTTGTGCGTCTCCCCCGGGCCCACACACCAATGGTCATTGATGCAGCACGTGTACAACTATCTTACAAATGTACTATCTAGTTCTTTCATATCATTTTCTCTCTATTGATGTCATTTGCTAGTTCTTTAACGTCATCCAGTTAGACAGAAATTCACTTTTCACAAGCTCCTCAACCTTGATTGTCCTTCTGGTAAGTGGTTGTTGTCCTGGCTGCAAATCCTGGTGCGTGCGACAGATATCTCGTGTGCCAATTGAACCATCAGCATCCCTTCCTTGGATTCCCCACCCAAGTAAGTGTATTGAATATATTTATTCTTTTCCAAAGATAATGTCTCACTCTGATCACGCCAAGTATCATATGCCATAGGGCTCTGTGAAAAACTCGGCTCGAGGTTTATGACATGTTTTTAACTCAGGCCTATCCTCGAGGGGTTTTTGACACGAGTTAGAAACTAGTTTTTGACAAGTTTTTTACACAGTCTAGAAACCAGTTTTTCAAGCTATTCTAACATGTTTGAGCTATGACAAAGTGAATGCCTATTGTACAGGCCCTCCCAAAGGCAACGTCGAAGTATCAGATTCATTCTGCGGAGGTGCTGTGTGGGAGCCTTCTAACAAGGCATGTACCCACTTTCTTCTTTGCAGACTTGTAGTGATGCACTGCAGCACGCCATAGATCCTTGGCCCATTTTTGGAGCAATGCCGACTCTGGAAACTCCTCCAATGTAGCAGTAAGGACATCCACAACAACGATGAGGCCAGGCCCACGCTCTTGAAACTTGAATGGACAAGGTGCAGACTCATCCTTGCGGCCCTTTGGTGCAAAGGTGACTTCTAACACATTATTCAGTGCTGCTTCTGCACTGCCGTATAGCTCAACTTTCTCTGGATCAGGTGCGAAGTTCTCAAAGTGATACCTGGAGTTACCCAGAGGGATGCAGTCTGGGAGGTGAGTGAGCATACTAGCTAGTAGGTGCTTGAGCTGTGAATCATTGTTGGCAATGGTGGTGAAGAAACTCATGGGTGGTAGTGTGCTTGCATTCAATGGGGGGCTCAAATTATTCTACTTTTTTGATATTTCGGGATTTTCGGCCACTCGAATGTCAAAGTATGACATGACTTGTTCTGAAGGCATCAGATACATGATACATACAATATTTAGGGTTATTGACAGGTATTTGACACCTGAATATCGACCTCTGTTCTTGACATGTTTTTAACATCGTAGTTTTTCACGGAGCCCTAATATGCCAGGACGGCGGTTGCGCGAGATGCCCAAAACAATCAAAAATCATCTTGGGAGGAATGAAGATGCCCATGTTAACCACTGTTTTCAATGTTTGCTTACTAGATAGTAGAGACTGGGTGACTATCCGTAGGCAAAATAATGTGGAATAGATTATAACGGACTTTGAAAGATATTAGCAAAATTTAATATGTACAGAAAACACAACCGTAACGCATCTGGATTAAAATAATTCAGTTAAAACTGCAATGGACGACCTGCTACTACAGTACCACAATCTGGTGAACGACGGAGAAGAGATGGCTTTTCTTGACGACGAAGAAGATGTGAGGATGCTAGCAGCTACCCTCGTCGCTGGAATAGAGCTAGCTCGACTTGATTGTGTTGAAACTAGGGAACTGCACGGGTACGGGTACTGCCAGGTACGGGTACAGGTCAGGATTTCGTGACCCGTGCAAATACCCGTACCCGTGATGTACCCGTCACAGTCGCAGTGTAGCCATTCTATGCTTGGGTGCATTCACAGCGCGCGCACGCGGTGCATGTAGAGTCGACTCTAGATGTGCGTGTTTTAATGCTACTTCATCACACTAATTATTGTCAAGTCCCCAGCTGAATTCTATTGTCATGTGAGTTGTCCTTATCATTCTTTCTTGTCTTTACTCCTTGCTTGTTTTCTCAGACCTCCGCTGCACCCTCTCATACATTGCGCGCACCCTCTTGTACATCCAGCACACCCTCTCGCACCTCTCAGACCTCCACCCTCTTGTACATCCTGCGCAGACGATGACCTCTCCCCTTTCATCACCACTTGCTATCAATTGCCCATCTCGTGATATCGCCAATCTCCACACCGGATTGCGATGCCCCACCATCTTCTTCAACACAACACCTGTCTTCAAGTCCCACAGATGAAGTGTTGTGTCATACGAGCCCGTAACCATCCGATATTTATCAGGGAAAACTGCGACTGCATTTATGTGTCCTTCATGACCTTCGAACCATCGCAGGGGAGTGGTGATTGTACTGAGCTCCGACATTTTACCTGAACTTTGGAGGGATTATGTCTTTCTCTAAGCTGCAGAGGGTGTATGGTGCATTTTATGGTGCTTCACAGCTTGCCTCATTTCAATAGATGCCCAGGACTGCTCCTTCGAACGCATGTATATAGCTTAGGGCAATACCATTTCTCCATCCAACAGACTCCCAAGATCCTTGTGTACACAAGATGTGTACGTGTGCACCTTCATAACACAATATATGTGCTGACAACAGTGCGTTCAGGTGCAAGTAAGAGCCTCGTGCGTCAAGGAAAGCACTTTTAGCATGGAATGCGAGGTAATTCCATTTCACACCAAACCCACTCGCTTGCTAACAATGTTGCCTCCCAACAGCTCTACAAATTGATAGAACTCACCCCCCCAGTCACATCCTCATTCTTGCGCATGTCAAGTACATCCATGTTCGCAAAGACGTGCTCACAGAGAAAGGTGTCATCGATCTCACGAAGTTCAAGCCTGTCATGTGTTTGGGCGACATCTTGTATGCCCGGGTTCCTTCTTGTGCCATCCACATATGTTCGAGTCATGTCAGCATTTGCTGATGTGTGCTGGACATATGTGCTAAGCACTGGTGGTGATACCTATGGTACCCATGGGTAAACCCTGCATGGGTGTGGGTACAGGTCTGAGCTTGTTGTACCTGCTGAAAACCTGTACCCGTCAGAGCGGGTACGGGTTTTGCCGGGTGCGGGTGCGGGTATGGCCTCCAATACCCGTGCAGTTCCCTAGTCGAAACCCAGAACCCTAAGCGACTGTACCTTTGTCATGCCCACTTACTTCCTGACCCACATCGAAATACCCCATGGCAAGTGCTGTATGCAAGTCGCAGTGATCGTGCGTTCATTACCATGATGGGGATCGATGTTCTAATGTTCGAATTCATCCTTACCTCTGGCTTTGCCAGTCTGTGGTACCACAAGTCCATCACACATCCTGATACCAACTAGCAAGGCATTCCACGCCTGAATCGCCATTCACTCGATGCTGGAGGAGCACTCGGCCTCATGCTCCACTATCTCAACTCCACCATGCACGAGACTAGCCTGCAACAAATCTTCACATTGATTCCCGCCACTGTTTCTCGCTATCTAACCTCTGGACTGCCGATACTCTTACAAACACTGCGCTCTATGGTTGATGCCTCAATTCGATGGCCACGGGGCCTGATTTCGAGCGTTGTAGTGCCCTCGTAGTTGTGTGTCACTCACACTTGGAAGGTGCCTTTGGAAGCATCGATGGCCTCAAACTCCCCGTGCAGACCTCACACAATGTTGACATCGAAAACACCACCTACAATGGTTGGCTTTCCGAACATTTTGTCAGTTCAGTCATAGCATTTTCTGCTGAAGGTGCGTTTTTTGGTCTTTCTCCAACAATTTGTACTCAATAATCAATTTACAAAGGCGTTGTGATTGCGGCAAGAACAAATGCACCTGGAAGTTGGCACGATTCATGTCTCGACTCTCACATCTATACTAAACTTCATCTCGACACACCTCCTGGCTACTACATTGTCGCAGATACTGCATTTCCCTGTGGGACGACTTCCATTGACGGTCGCATTTGTGCACCTTTGAAACATGGTCAAGTTTTGCGTGGGTCTGCTGCCGAGATAGAGGAGCACATGGTGTTCAACCGCCAACTACTCTCTTACTGCCAAACTGCAGAATGGGGCATGTGGGCTATCCAAGGCGCATTTGGAAGGCTACACATGCCACTCGACATCACCAACCAAGAAGCTTACAGCGACCTCATTGAAATCTGTCTTCGGCTGCACAACCTGTGCGCCGTACATGTTGGGATCAACCAGATACAGACCATGTACATGAAGCATTGGCAGGCTGCTGAGGATGACCTGGATGTGTGGCGAGACTTCGAAAGCATGCTATTTTCAGAGCAGAGGAAGAAGGATCAGGTTTTGCGCTTCCATGTCATCTTAGAATACCAGTAGATACAACATGTAAAACTTATAATATCAATGCAATGAAGTGTCGTCACAGATAACCTTGGATGTGAGCATGAAGGCGGATATGAAAAGACGGTGACCTGAAGATCCTCAAGCAGAGGGGAAGCGTGCTTTGAGTTGCTGGATGGTGAATAGTAATTAGGTAGACTCACCTGATTGATTTCTCGCAATTGGAACATACCCTGGGCTACAATACTCTAGGATTTGTTGGAGTAAGTGTCATCACAGATAACCTTGGATGTGAGTGAATAGTAGTTAGGTAGACAACTCACCTGATTGATTTCTCGCAATTGGAACATACCCTGGGCCAGGATTTGTTGGAGTAAGTGTTGTCACAGATAACCTTGGATGCGAGCATGAACGGGCGCAAAACATTTGAATCTTTACATTGTACATTGGTACCCTAGATACATTGTAAGTATCATAACACAATCAAATCTCTACTGACCCCTCCTTTTGAATGGGATTGATAGGCTCATCAGCGATGTCCTCGAAGTATGGGCAATCAGAATACTTGAGATGCTCAGAGGGGCCGATTTTCTGAAGGTGTGGTGGCTTGCACCCCTCAGATGCGGTACTTTCACCTTCATCAGTAAGCCACCTAGTGGATCCCCCACCCTCAGGGTACCACTCTTGATGCAGATTCTTGTGTTTGGGCATCCGTACATGCTGACGGTGTGTGGATCCACTCATTTGCATCATCTCGATGCGAAGTTCGACCCAATCATGTTCACGTTCGATGTCGTACATGCGAGCGCGCAAATCAAAGAGTTGGCCATGCAGGGTTTCTGTGGCGGCTTGGGAATCACAGAGCTGCTGACTTTGGGTAAGTAGATGTGTGGTGGCAAGGCTGCAATTGGCACGATCTTCGTCACAGTTGCGCTGGGTGGCCGGGTCAAATGCTGTGGAAAGTCGAGTGAGTAAATCCGTAGCTGCCGCTCCTCGAGTATTGCGACGTGGGGCTGGGGCTTCTGCGCAAGGAGTGGAGCGGGCAATGGCTGTATGCTGGATTGGAGGGGGGGTAGGCTCATCCTGGTACTGGTCAGAGATGACAGACAGACTGTCATCGTCTTGCACGGCCTTGTAATCTGTGTTGTTCAGGTCGCATGTTCCTGCATGCTCGTTAATGAGCTCTTCAATGTGATGGGCGCACGTGACTTCTGGAGGGCACACACCGTCTCCAGTTGGCTTTGTAGTCTTGACCAACTGTAATTATACTTGTCAGTAATGTTGCAGTCATGATACAAATTGAATCATACCTGTTTGAACTTCGTTTCGAGTGAAGTGAGTTTACATTCTGGCCGGTGCTTCACCTTGGCCCATTGGCAGAACTTAACTTGAACAGTCTGCCACCTGCATTGACCGAGAGGGAGCTCATCTTGGACTATGTTGAGGAGACTTTTGACGTCTGAGCTAGTATAATTATTGGACCCTTGAGGGTGGCCTCGCCTCGCTCATGCTTCTGCTTCATCATCCTCATCTCTGTCCTCTCGGGAACACTTCTTTGCGTTAGAGTATCCAGCATTTTCCTTCTCCTTACCTTTGGCCCTTGGGGCTTTGGCCTTGCAATGCGCACCTGCTGTTTTGGTGGCCGGAATGTAGCCGGTGGCCTCCGCAATACTGGCGGGGTAAATCAGATCCATGTCGTCAGAGTGAGGTAGGGGGAGGAGCATGGGATTGATCATGTTGGTGGTTGGCCCCTCATGTAGAGCAAGGCGAGAATTGGACGCCGGTGTAGAAACAACAATACTGAGAGGAACAAAGAAATGCTCCTGACTGTATCTAAAAAGTTGTAGGTCGTGCGTTGCCTAGTCTGCGATACTTGAGATGGCAAGTGCATTCGACCCTAAAGGGGAAGCAGGTGCAGCGGAGATCTAGAGGTACGCGCTTCAGCGAAGCGCGAGAAAGCGCAGGTGCGCGCAAGGTACGAAGGCGCGGGAACGCGCGCGCGTATTAGCGCGAAGCGCAGGAAAGCGCGCGCGTGTAAGCGGAAATAAGAGAGACTAAACTTATGTGAAGATATAAGCAAGATAAAGGATGTGAGATGTGTTGTGCTAATGAATAGATTTCTACTGCGACTTTCTAAGTAGTAAGTACTAGGTAAAGTTGGGTGAAAAGTAAGGTAAATAATAGTATGTACTGCTGGCGCTTATATAGCGCGCCTAAGCGCGCTCATGCGGAGCCGAAGCGCTACCGAGTAGGTATGTAAAAATATATATGAGTGAGAAACTATGATAAAAATAAAAGTGGAACTATGCTAATAAAGGAAATGGAAATATACGCACTAGGGAGCTTGGTGGACAGTGGATGGATGCATCTGGATGGCTGGCGCTATAGGGCGCGCAAGCGCGGGAACGCGCGCGCGCGTATACATCGTGAAGCGCGGGAATGGTGCGCGCATGGCGCGCGTTGCGCGGGAAAGCTGCGCGTCATATAGGAATCACTGTGGATGGTACACAGAGTGATGCTGCGAGTTGGTGCTGTATACTCCCTAGTGTAAAGCGCCATATCACACTATGAGATGCACGAGTCTCTACACCGGGAAGGGTGGAGGTGTGCCTTCGTGGGACTGGAAGGCTGGAGTGAGTGCGTAGGTAGAAGCAGGCTGCATGTATATAGTTAGTCATGTCAAAAATATAATATGATACTCGATGTACCTGATAACCTGGACTGTCGCCATGTTCGAACCGACAGGACCGATCAGATGTAGTAAGAGTCTATAATAAGATGAGTATTGGCCGCCAGTAGACAATTGTTGGATAAGACTTACATTGCAGATACCTGGATGGGACACCCAAGCGCCATCATTATCACGGGTGAACACATTTCCCGCATGGTTGTAGTATAATTTAGGGCCCAGGTAAGATGGGGTACTACCAGGAGGTATCATGGATAGTGGAGGAGGAATGTCAGACATTGTGTGCTGTAGTTTTAATGAAAATGATGCTTACCTTGTTGTCCTCCAGTGCATGCTCTTATGTGTTTCGAAAATGCCAACTATTGGATGCATAAGTCACCCAATGACTCTAGATGTTCATAGTTAGTAGAATGACCCTGTGGTGGTTGCAGGAATATGTTAGTACACACAGCAAAATAAGTCTTTAATGTTAAAAAACAGTCGCGGTAGCTTGGGGAACAAGTTGTTTTTGCAAGTCTAGACTTATAGGGAGAGAATGGTGCCGGCACTGCTCACCTTGTACCCTGGCCGGTCGCAGTTGTATGTGTTGGCATTGTCTGCTGAGAGCAATCTTAAAACTTCAGCTGAAAACTTCGCCAGGGACCTCAGGGATGGGACTGCGTATATTGGAAAATGTTTGGACCAGGTGGCGACCTTTGCCATGCTGAACATGTGTCAGGCGGACCTCAAGTCTTGGATTAGTCACCAGATAGCTTAGGCATAGTGGTCTAAAACAGATTTAATCTGTCGTTTATAATCCGGATTAATCTGTAAGGGCCCCCCCCCCCTTCTAAATTTAGAGTTTGTAAGAGCCTCAAAATAATATGTTTTGAACATCCGATGCAAATGAACAACAGCATCGCGGCACGACTTCCTTATATGGTCTTTTTTATTCTATCTTATTTTATTCCGCATTATTTCAGCCTATGGATAGTCACCCACTATATCTTCTGTGTCAGTAATGTGGCTAGTCACAAGCTGGCATGGGGGCGTGGTGGTGTAGTGGTCCACATGCGAGTCCTGGTTAAGCGCTATGCTCCTTGGTCTTGGGTTTGAATTCCAGCCCCCCCACACTGTTGGACTACATTTTGACACCAGCAGTTTCCCACCACTCACTCCACATGTGTCATGTGCACTACAATGTCACAACCAATGAAAATATGGTCATACAAAGGGGTCGTGCGCCGCAGGCTTGCAGGAAAGTTGTGAAGGGGTTGCTCTGTCAGATTCTGGAGATCTTGTGAAGGGGTGCGAAGGGGTAATTCTAGAGTCAATGGCCTGAAGGTATGTACTCTGCCTCCCTATTGATCTTGCATCCAACTGACTCGATATCTGAACATCATCGGTACTATAGCACACTGTCCTCGCATCAATATGGCCTTAAGGTATGTATTCTGCCTCTCTATTGCTCTTGCATCCAACTGACTCGATATCCGAACATCATCAGTACTATAGTGCACTGTTCTCGCATCAATATGGCCTGAAGGTATCACTGGGGGCAGGAACCAATTTGCCCATGGGTCAAATGTTGAACCTAGCGTGATCTCAGACAGATTCAGGTCACCTTTGGTTTTGGCAGATAATGTTAACAAAAATTAAAAAAATTTCTTACTTTATCTCAATTTGAGTTATCCTGTCATATATACATTATAATCATCTTGTCTACACATTTTTATCAGACATAAAAATTATCCTGGCATATGTTTTTGTTGTCATTTTGGCATAGGATCACATAATGATCACATTTTCAACAAGTCTCAAACTCATGTTTTGAGTAAATTTTGACTGAGGTTAATTCTTTTTTATTATTTTTTCATTGGAATCAAGCTAGGAAATTTTTGTCTATGAATGCAAGCAATATATTACTTTGATTCTGATCACATTTTGGAGTTTTTTTAATTTATAACACCCTATGTTCTACTTATCTCTACACTTTTGTTCCTCTGATATATAATAGAAAATACAAAGTCAATTGATAGAAAAAAGTTTGACCAAATGTTAAGATAATATATCCTTTGCTCTGTAAACAAAATCAATAACAAAATAAAATCTGACTTTTTTTTGTTAACAAATCAAATTTTGACCAAAGTCAACATCAACAGTCAGAAGTCAACAGTTCACAGGTTGATCAATTATCATATGTTTACCTTGTTAACTGTCGACTGCTGACTAGTAGTATTGACTTTGGTCAAAAGTTGATTTGCAAACAAACAAAAAATCAGATTTTACTTTGTTGCCAATTTTGTTTACAGAGCAAAGGATATATTATTTTAACATCTGATCAAACTTTTGCGCATCAATCAACTTTGTTTTCTACATACTGAACCCACTATGCCCTAACTAAAAACCCACTGACTCTGATAGTCTCATACTCAACCTGTACCCATACCCATGATCCACAGATCAGCAATGACATTTGCTAGCAAGGCTCTAGACTCACTCTCTATTTAAGGATGCACAATTTCAATGGTGCTTGGCAAATGATGATCAACATGCTCACTCTCTCCGAACAGTGAGCAATGTCTTGGATCAGCATGGCTCTTGCTCAAACAAGGATCAAGGCACTCACTTGCTGTGAACGGTGAGCAATGACTTGGATCAGCATGGCTCGAGCTCAAAGGAGGACTGATACACTCACAAACTGGGATGACAAGGTGCTTTGTCTGTGGGACTTGAAGGCAGGTGTTGTGTTGAAGAAGATGGAGGAGCATAGCAGGCAGGTGTAAGTATTAGTAATAGGCAGTTGGGGAGTAAATAAGTTATGCGTTTCTGTGAAGTGCGGAAATATAAGCCATAGGGCAGTGAAAAGAGGAAAAGGAGAGGGCACATGGTTTCAGTATAACAACTCATGAATTGAGATGCCATGAGATGTGAGACTGTGCAAGTGATAAGGATCCGTGAAGACACATAAGAGGAAAACTTACTAAGGAGGATGGAGCTTGCAAGCAGTAATATTGCAGTCAGAGGGACACCAGCATGCTAGGGTAAAGACACATTATTTGTTGAAATCAACCGTGGGAGCCCTGTGATTAGTAATTAAATCATCGGTGGTTTGATTTTCAATTTCTCGTAAGTACCTACTTAATGTTGTTGCTGAGTGGCTGAGGCTGAGTTGAGCACTAAGACCCTCTGGCCTGCAGCAGACATGTCCGAATTCTCCCTCGGACTCCCACCTGTTTAAACATGCCAACCCCCATCAATATCCCAATTCTTGCCTGCTAGCTTTGAATTTCAAGTCCTTGCCTTTGTCCATGTTCTCACCAGTATCTGCTCTGTAGTACCTGTCAGGTCCTGCCTGCACCCTTAGGCAATGCAAGCATATGTACATGTTCTCTGTGGTTCTGGATTGTGTGAACTCTACATTTTTGATACACTATAAACTGGCTACATATCTCATGGCAGGTTCAACTAGAAGAGAGCCCTGTAGATACATATATTTTTTGGCACATCTACTGGCTGTTATGCATCCATATGTGACTATTTACTAGCTTGTAGACAACTTCACAAATTTTTTGAAAATTTGACAAAAGCTTGCCACAATTCCCAGAAATATTGTCACATTCTCAAAATTCCTGTGGGAGGTTTTTCCTGATGCAAGTGAGGAAACACAATATTCACACAATCCTGCTCTTCTTTCATCTCTGCAAACATACAGCATAGGGTATGGGTACAGGTTGAGTATGAAACTATCAGAGTCAGTGGGTTTTTAGTTAGGGCATAGTGGGTTCAGTATGTAGAAAACAAAGTTGATTGATGCGCAAAAGTTTGATCAGATGTTAAAATAATATATCCTTTGCTCTGTAAACAAAATTGGCAACAAAGTAAAATCTGATTTTTTGTTTGTTTGCAAATCAACTTTTGACCAAAGTCAATACTACTAGTCAGCAGTCGACAGTTAACAAGGTAAACATATGATAATTGATCAACCTGTGAACTGTTGACTTCTGACTGTTGATGTTGACTTTGGTCAAAATTTGATTTGTTAACAAAAAAAAGTCAGATTTTATT